GTGAGGAACATCTGCATCTTTCTTGGTTTTGGAAGCCTGACACTTCCTGAGCAGTCCAGAGCTTCATGGATTTCTGGGTAATTCAAGATTTCTGGATTTCAGAGTTGCACTCCATGCAGAGCAGAAAAACGAAGCAGCTGCCCTTACCTGCCCTCCATGTCCAGACACCTCCGGTTAGCCAGAAGAATCTCCTCCTCTTCCTTCTGGATGCGAGCTTCCAGGGAAGTGTCATAGCTGGTATTGGGTGAAGGGCTGATTACAGTGGTGTCCCTGCAGAACAGTATTGGATAGAGAGTCAGGAATCCCTGCTTAGCCTTTAGACACAGAAGCTTCCCATTTACCAGGCAAGAAGGAACCCAATTTGTTCCATCATCAGATGATCTGCCAAATGCAGCTGGCTGAATAAGGCCATTTCACATGGGAGAACAGGGGAAAAATTAAATAATCCAATTCCCCCTGCAAAAGAAATCCCCGTATGCAGAACAAAAATAGTTTGTTAGATTCTGAGTTGCAAGAAAATAGGTGTGTTTTTACTTTAAAGATGATGTATGTGGCAAGGTATTTGGGTGATTACCAACTATAAGGCAGCTTCCCTAACATTTAAGGGTGACATGGATTTTCTAAACAAGCTAAATACATTTTTGAGGCTGCAAACAATGTTCCAGTAAGGAAGGCTGTTCCCCTTCCTGATGAACAGGCTCAGGTTTGATACAAATGCTGTTCAGAAGGTCCTACACAAACTCAACACTGCGGGTCCTGATAATATCCCTGGGCGAGTACTTAGGGAGGGTGCTGATCAGTTAGACACTGTTCTCACAGATATCTTTGATCTCTTTGCATCAGGCCATATTTTCATCATGTTTTAAGACTGCCATCATTGTACTAGTGCACCAAAACATCGATATTCACATGCCTTAATGATTACTGTCCAGTTTCACTCACTTCCATTACTATGACGTGTTTGAGAGATTGGTAAAGGACTATATGGTTCCATTACAATTTGCCTATCAGAAGAACAGCTCTATAGAGGATGCCTCTTTTTGGAGGAAAAAAAAGAATAAGGATATATGTTTGAAAGGGGATATAAATTGGAGCCAGCATAATAAGTTATAGACTAGAAGTGGGAAGGAAGAACTTGGGTAAACACTTTTGCTATTGCATGGTCAAAATATATTGTATTAATTGGAAACTGGATTTTCCCCAACTACCAATATTTCTTAATTCTCTTTGGGTTTGATCTGCCAGGGTGAAATTGGAAGTGTTGTTGGTTATGTGAGCATACCGCAAGCTGCACATTTCTCCTGTCACATTTTATATGATTCTTTTGCAATGGTTTTTGTTTGTTTTATTTGTTTTATTAGACATTTATAGGCCGCCCTTTTCCCTGAGGGGACTCAGGGCGGCTTACAGTCAAAAAAGGAAAGGGAGTGTAGGACAATACAAAAAGAAATGTGCACAAAAGTAAGTTAAATAGTAAAACTCAACATTCACTCANTAAATTAAACCTGGAAAAGGCAAAGAAATCTTGAGAACATAAATAATATTGATGGTCATTGATGGACTTTTCCAAAAAGAAAGAAAGAAAGAAAAAGAAAGAAAGAAAGAAAGAAAGGAAGGAAGGAAGGAAGGAAGGAAGGAAGGAAGGAAGGGTAAAACACCTGCCCCCCCCAAGTTATTTACTTGGAACAAATTCAAGGAGAGGAATGACAAACGGATTCATGTTGCAAAGATCAAGGAACCAGCGACTAGATGGGTTCCTAAGAAACTCCATGAATAAAGAGAGGAAAAGAGATGGCCCACCTGGGCTCTGGATGGCTCCTTCTTATGAGGAGACAGTGATTTTTCCATCAGTTTGAATGACAAGAAATGACAGCTTCAGCCATCTTACTTACAATCATGGCAGAACTATTTAAAGCAGGGATCCACAAACCTGGCAACTTTAAGACTTGTGGACTTCAACTCCCAGAACAACTCCCCAATCTCGCTTTCTAATCACTTTCAAGAATTCCCTTTTAAGCATTTTAAAGCTATTAAAGAGTTCTTCAGAAGGACAGGTCTTCATCAGGCAATTTTTTCTTCTACTCCGAAAAGAAAAAAAGGCTAATTGTATATATTAAGGAACATGAAGAATTTGAAATAAACAGCAAAAAGCTGACTGAGATTTTGATCTAGGTAAGTTATAAATGGGTTAAGAGTCCAAATAAATTAGGACTACTATAAGATTTTGGAATTAACTATAAAAAATAAAGAGTTTTCTGTGGGAAAGGCACTTATTTTGGCTAACCTGACTACTGCAAGTATAACAAAAATAAGTGATGATTTTAGAACAGGACACTAGAAGGGACTAAATATTTTAAGCAGAAGAAAAAAAATACAACCCTGGGCTTGATGCCAGTCAATATCTAGACTTGGCGCAAAATGATGCAAAATGTCATAACTTCAAAAATGATCTATTAAATACGATCTTTGAATAATGGGGCCAAAAATTAGTAACATAATATCAACACTGTCAGCAATGATGTCTGCTTCTATCAACAAACTAAATGTAAAATACATTAACGAAGGAATGACAGATGTGGAACAAGTTTTATCTGAGAAGACAGAAAGTACCAAAAGTGGAACTATAAATGAAAGCCCCAGAGAAAGATGGTAGTCCTTGACTTATGATCACAATTGAGCCCAACATTTCTATTGCGAAGCAAGACAGTTAAGTGGGTTTTCCCCCTATTTAAGACTTTTCTCGCCATAGATGTTAAGTGAAACACTTAAATTAATAACAAGGTTGTTAAAAGTGATTCTGGTATCCCCATTGACTTTGCTTGTCAGAAGGTTGCAAAAGTTGATCACATGACTTTGGGATACGGCAACTGTCATAAAAACATACCAACTGACAACTGTCCAAATTTTGATGACACGACCACAGGGATGCTACAATTTTCATAAGTAAGAAAAATAGTCACAAGTAACTTTTTCAGTGCCATTGTAACTATAAACAGTCATTAAATAATGGTTGGAAGTCAAAGACCTTGTACTAGATATACAAAAGAAACTGACTATAGTTTTAAAAATGAAATGGAAAATACAAATGATAAACCAAGAGAATGACCTAGAAAATATGTTCTTATTAGATGTACAAAAGATACTTTGTTGAAGAAATCTGGGCAATGGGGTAAAGAAGAATTGAGGAGAAATTAAATCTCACAACAATATTTGAATGAATTAAAGGTTAAGATTGTTAGAAGTAAAAGCAAGGAATATAAATTTGGTTTATGTGATCAAGATAAAATAAAATATGTTATTTTTGGCTATTCTTTTTTGGCTGTCTGTTGATGCCAGGACTGCAAAGATGATGCTTTATGAAAAGATAATTTTTGTAGCCTTAGAGGGGATGAAGAGTCAGCAAACTAAACATTTTAAGTATCTTATAAATGAGGCAGGCAGAAAGGAACAAACAGCATTTTTCACTGTTTAAAGAAATGGGAGCTTTAGTTAATGGAAGGCTTTTGTGTTTTTTATCTTAAATCACCCACGTAAATACAGTAATCTTGCAAAACAAGGGTATAAGAAGACATCAGCTAAGAATGAGAAGTGTAGGACAATCCAAAGGTTAACACTAGAAAGGAATGAAAGCTGAATGAAAGGCAGAGACACAGTACAGAAATAGCATTTGGAAATTCTGAGTTAGTATAACAAGAGTTCTTTGTAGTAGGGGTAAGTATTGTATACTAGCAAAAGTATAACCTGTTACTGCCTTAACCAACCACTGAGAACTTCACTGCTATCCACAGGCCTCTCAAATTTCTAGAGGTCTGGCAAATGAAGTTTGTAGCTCTCATGGCAGTAAAATATAAATACCTAGGACTGCAGGATACATACATGTTTGCGGGAAACTCAACTCATACAGGATCTTACTAGAACCACATGCTTGCAGTTTATGCCTCTCCAATCTGCCTCAAAGTCAGTCCTGGGACCACCAGATATAAGATTACCAGTGTGTCTGTATTAGTAATGGTACTTTAATGTCAAATTACAAATATAGATTTGTACATCAGGTGGGTCTCTCTTCAGCAAAGAAAACCCAAGAGGATTCTCATGCAAGATTTCAGAGGAGTAAGCCAATACTTTCACCTAAGCTTTTTCTCTAATGAAAATTATTCTTTTGTGCCAGAAAGACCCTTATGGCACTGCCAAGGAGGAGAAAGAGAAATCACAGAACACCAAGAAAACTGACATAGAAGACTTGCAACAGATCATTATCAGGAGATGACAATATAGTCCCTATCAACTGAAAACTGGATCTTTCTATGTTCATCGGCCCTGCACTTTCTGCAGCCAAGAATGTGGAAAATGTTCCCATTCTTAAAATGGAAAAACAGTACTAAATTATTTTATGGCTTTGGGGAAAGCAAAGCACGCAGCCCTTCCTTGCCAAAACATTCTGCAATTTTTTTTCTTCCTTACTGAATTGGGTTTCAGGTATTCTCTGCTATCATTTGCTTTTAGAATAGAATAGAGCTGGAAGGGACCTTGGAGGTTTTCTAGTCCAGCCCCTTGCTCAAGCAGGAGAACCATGTCCTACACTATTTCAGACAAGTGACTGCCCAGTCTCTTCTTAAAAACCTCCAGTGATGAAGCACCCACAACTTCTGGAATCAAGCTGTTCCACTGGTTAACTGTCCTCACTGTTAGGAAGTTTCTACTTAATTCCAGATGCTTTTTTAAAAAAAAAATCTTGAACCTGAAAGTGTCTCTGGATGCTTGCAACACATGGATTAATCCTGCAATTTCAGGTAGGCCACCGGTGTTCTTCTTACTATTAAGACAGTGTTTCTCCAATTTGACAGCTTGAAGATACTTCCAACTCCCCAAATTCCTCAGTCAGCAAGGGGATTGAAGTTCATACATTTTCAGGTCACCAACATTGAGAAACACTGTATTAAGGATTCAGTCAAAACGTAACATACTCAAATGATATCCGAGAGCAAAATGGGAAGACTTACTTCTTCCTCCAGCTTCACCACCTTGGCCTGTGCATTGTTTAATGCCTGGTCCCGGATCTCAATGTGCCTCCGTTGCTCCTCATTAGTTGAGCGAAACCCTGCTAGCTCCACTTCCAGTTTCTCCTTTTCCCTTTGGGTTTCTTTATCTGTGCAGGTAAAATAGAAAGGGGGGGGGGGAAATACAGCTTTGAGAGTTGCTGGGGGGGCAGAGCTCCAAGGGTGAGCTATTAGCTTTGTGGATGGAGGGAAATGGGTTTCAAGCACATTTTTCAAAGAATTACGATGACACCCTTGTTGTTATAGGATGGCAGGTATTGCATTTTCTTCATAATTTCCAAAATTATGTTTTGGAAATTAAGCAGTAGTAGCAGTAGTAAACAAAGGATCTGTATGTGTGTGTGTGTGTGTGTGTGTTTGCACAGTGCACGTATGTATGCATGATTTGGGAGTTCTCTTATTTCAGGAAATCCTGTTTGTCAGAATCAAGGAGGACACCAAAACAAGAATTCTTTCCTTCTGATGCTATCCAGCAGCTGATGGTAGAGGGTCCCTGATGCTCCATTCTCAATGAAACTCTCACAGCTGCCATTGCTGACCTTGCCACCAAGAACTAAAACCACAGAACTGCCAGGAAGAGTCTGTGGTTGCATCTTGGCAGAAATGGAAGATTACCTGATCTAATTCTAGACAAGTTCATTCAATTTCACTTCCAACTGGGATACATGAACAGCGCTTCAACATTATAGAGAAGAGCGAAGCAAAGGCTGTTGGGAGACCTTTGTCTTCCCTCACTGTCCATTGTGCGCAATGACCTCAACCAGCACCCCTCCAGAGTTATGCCCTTTTATCCAGGCAGGCAGAGGGACAACAGAACCACCTGGGAAGCAGAAGGTCCTCCTTGGCTGGGACACACACAGAGGCTTCCTCAGATCCCTTGTGCGAGCATTCCTCTTTAAGGTCTGGGAGCAGTGAAAGTCACTCCAAAAAACGAGGCAAGTCCCTTTCTTAGTTTTGCTGAGATTGCTAAGATCCATTAGTGACTCTTCCCATGTACTTGGCAGGGTGGTGCAGGGTGGTGCTCACCAAGTCCCCCAGCATTCAGAGCAGGAGACTGATGTCTCCTGTCTTGAAAGTCGCCCCCGCATCTCGCATCCGCAAAGGAAGTGGTTTATGTAATGTTGAGGTTGAAAATATTTTGCCCAGGTTAAGGTTAAGAGACACAAGGGTTTTAGCTGTATATTGACCATTCTAAAAAAAATAATGGTTTTAGCCCAACAACTGAACCTCAGCATGAGGAAGGGGAAAAGGTTGGGTCCAAACAGTCTGTGTTTCTCCAATATAACTGGCCTTCCCCTCCAGGCAGCTGAATACAAGCAACCACACAGCAGAGCAGAAATGGCAGCTGAAATGCCTAAGTGAACTCGAGGATGAGTTCTGTTACTCGCAGGAGACCAAGAGTGGTTGTTCTTGGCTCTCTCCAACTTCTCTTGGGCATTTCTCAAGGTTGCTTTCTTCTGCTTTCAGCACTTTGCAAAACAATTAACCACATCTATTAACCACAGCTACAGGAAATGTGATGGACTCACTTTGTGCAAAGAGCTGGGAGATGGTTTTCCTGTTATCCTCTGTGCCTTCAAATTCTTTCTCAGCAAGCTGCTTATTGGCAGTATCCATACGGTCTGCAAAAGGAAGAAGAAGCACGGGGGTCATGGAACGGTTAGGGCTGATGAATTAACTGTTCAGAGTCTATCCCACATGTGTACCATTCCTCCTGCCACCTTGCACAACTGTCTAGTGAGACGGGCTGGACTGAGAGAAAGAAAATGACTGCAGCCCAAGGCAGCCAGTGAACTTCCATGGCTGAAGGGGAAGTGGAACATGGGCGTTCCTGGTTGCCCTGGACTTGCTAATCCATAACCCAGAGGCTCTATGGAAAGCTATCTAAGTAGTTAGCCTTCCTTGCCATTCAACAGGGGAGACACTACTACTTAATCTACTTCTTAATCTTTATTGAAAGGATCCTTCAGTGCAGAAAATCTTCAAAATCATGTCCAATCAATTTAATTTACTACACGTCGACTCCATTCAAGGTGTAGAAATATGTCAGCAACGATCAAGAGAACTGGGAAGCACCAGAGCAAAATTTCACATATTGTTGCAAAGGGTCTGTTGCAGAGGTGGGATTCAGCAGATTCTGACCAGTTCTGGAGAACCGGTAGCAGAAATTTTGAGTAGTTCGGGGAACCAGCAAATGCCACCTCTGGCTGGTCCCGCCCCCATCTATTTTCTGCCTTCCGAGTCCCACATATTGTTGCAAAGGGTCTGAATACTTATGCCAATGTGATATTTGCTTTGTCTTTTTAATAAATTTACAGACATTTCTAAAATTCTGTTTTAACTTTGTCACTACGGGATACTGAATTTAGATTAATGAGAAAGGAACTAATTTCACCAACTGTAGAATCAGGCTGCAGTGTAACAAAAAGGACAAAAGTAAAGGGGTGTGTGTGTGTGTGTGTGTGTGTGTGTGTGTGTGTGTGTTTGTGACTACTTTCTGAATGCCCTGTATGTGCAGAGTCACTG